CCCAATCCAACCCAGCCCAACTCAATCCAATCCAACCCAACCCAATCCAATCCAACCCAACCCAACTCAGCCCAATCCAACCCAATCCAGCCCAATTTAGCTCAGCCCAACTCAATCCAATCCAATCCAACCCAACTCAATCCAATCTAACCCAGACCAGCCCAAACCAACCCAGCCCACCCCAACTCAATCCAATCCAAGTCAACCCAGCCCAGCCCAGCTCAACCCAACCTAACACAACCCAGCCCAACCCAGCCCAACCCAACTCAATCCAATCCAACCCAACCCAACCCAGCCCATTCACTTCCAAGAGGAGCAGATCAGACCCACCAGGGATGAAAGCAGCAAACACTAAAGCACCCCAGGGCTTGGTGAGATGGGATCCAACCCAACCCAGCCCACTGGGGATGTCACCCTGCTGTGCCCTCGGGTTCTGTGGTTGCAGTGTCCTGCCCCGAGGCTCCTGACCTTTGTATCTGAACAGTCTAGGCCATACCCTGTACTGAGTGTACCAGCCAAACTACATTTAGCTGCTTCTCTGCATGTTTAACTGGGTTTCTACATTTCTTAGTTTAAAATTGTTTGTAACAGGTGCACTAGATAAACCATTTTTAAGTGGTTTTCTGCAGTCTATTGCACTTTCTAAAACTCTTCAAGGCTACTAAAATAAATTGTGCTAAATTAAAAAAAAAAAAAAAAAACTAAAAAAGAAAATACCAAAATGAAAAAAACCAAAATAAAAAATAAACACTAATACTCTAAACTACAACCAATCATCTTACCTACAAAACTCATACAAAACACATAAACAAAATAAAAACACCAATCAAAAAAATACATAATCTCATAAACAACGAATAAATAAAATTCAAAATAACCAACAGATCAACTTCTACAGAATCACATTAATTTCCTTCATTCCCACAGAGGGTCTTTGCTCCCCTTTGCCTTGGCTGGGTGTTCAGGCTCCTCCTGCTTACCTTCAATCACACACTGCTCAGGGATGGGAATCCTCCTCCCCATCTCCAGCACAAACTCCTTGACTTTGCCCAGGTTGTCCTTGAGGTGCAGGTACAGCTTGTCCTGATGTTCCACATCTGTCCCTGCCCTGTCCTGCCCAGCCTTTTCCTGGGGGTGACTGGGCTGTGAAACCAGGGGGTTCCCCACGTGCTGGAGCCCCAAAGGAACTTTCTGGTGTTCCTGGCTGAGGCAGAGCTCAGAGAAGGAGATGCCAGCAGGGATGTCCCCGTTGTCCTCGTCCTGCCCTCCCTCAGAGCTCAGCCCCTTCATCCTGAGAGCGTGCAGGGCCAGGCTCTTGGACCTGAGGGAGGGGAAAAAAAAAAAAAAAGGTTTGGAACAGAGGCACAAAAACCACCCCAAAACCAGCCCAGCGTGGGGCTCACCAAGAACCTTCTGGAAAAATCTGCATTTCCAAAGCCGAGCTGAAGCCACGGCTTTAATGAATAAATGAAATGAAATCATATCCAAACGATATCCACATATCCCAACATCTGCCAGGGGGGGAGCAGGGCAGCCCCAATGCAAGGATCTCACCAGCCCAGGGGTGGTGTGGCTGCTTCAGCAATCACATCATCAAAATGTGATAAATAAATCACATCATAACAATGTGATAAATAAATCACATCATAACAATGTGATAAATAAATCACATCATCAAAATGTGATAGATAAATCACATCATAACAATGCAGCTTTTCCCTGAGCCACGAGCTCCATACTGATAAATACTGATAAATATTGGTAAATATTGGTACATACTGGAAAATACTGGAAAATATTGGTAAATACTGGCAAAAATTGGTAAATACTGATAAATATTGTAAATACTGGTAAATACTGGAAAATACTGGTAAATATTGGCAAATACTGATAAATACTGGTAAATATTGGTAAATATTGGTAAATATTGAAAAATATTTTTAGTGTTAACACCCCAGAAATGCCCTCAGGGCCTTTCCTGTCTGTGATATCTCAGTGCAGTTGTTTTCCTGCCCTTTTTGCTGCCTTAGGGCACAGAAAAGATTAAATAGATTTCCTAGGGAAGCTGTGGCTGCCCCTGGATCCCTGGCAGTGTCCCAGGCCAGGTTGGACATTGGGGTTTGGAGCAGCCTGGGACAGTGGGAGGTGTCCCCATGGCAGGGGTGACACTTTCAGGTCCCTTCCAACCCAAACCATTCTGTGCTTCTGGGATTTCGAAAGATTTCATCCAGCCCTTAAGTTCAAGGATGCAAAAAATTCCTTAAAATGAGTTTGATGCTGCCTGTGGGTATTCCATGAGCAGAACAAACCCTCCAATGTGTGGATGAAGTTTTCTGACAAAACTGATCTCCCTGAACCCCTCACACATTTCCCAGAGCCATACCTGTTAAACCTCATATCCTTCCTTTCTTCTTTAGAAACCTGGCCCAGGCTGTATCTCCTCACTGAGCCAGGGGTGCTGCTGTCCACGTTTATTTTCTCTTCAAAAGCCTGAATTTTAACTTGCAGCTTTTCATCTTCTTCACTGCCACTCATGACAGATTTGAAATCATCCAGGGGTGCAGGACATTGTGCCTCGGGGTCGTTTTCCACCCTGAGGAAGCAGAAAGCAGAGGTTTAACCCTGTGTTCATTGTGCTGTTCTCTGCCTGGGAATGGTGGTTTGGAGCTGGTAAAATAATCACATTTAAACAAAGATTCCCTGAGGTTATTTTCAGGAACATCTTCTAGATTGATATATCTGATGGATCAGAAATATTGAACATTTCTGACAACCCTGGATTAAAAAGTTCCAAGCACCAGCAAATCACAGCTCTGTCCCTGATAGTCAAAAGCTTTTCATCTGAACTCAACCATTCTCTCAAAATTGCTAAACACTGACTTATTGCATTATTTTCACAAGGCAAAAGTCAAGCTATTTGTAGACTTTATAAAATTCTGTGGTTTTAAAGCTTTGACCAAAGTAAATGCAGTTCTTACTGAATTATTGCACTCTGAGAAAGAAAAATACCTTTAAAAAAACTCAAGAAAAGTTCTGAGCAATGTGACCCCAGCTCAGCAAAGAGAAAATGAAGAGTTCAAATGAACTTGTAGGAATGCAGGGCAAGCAGATCTTATTTTGGATTTGTTATGTTTGCCTTAAAATCACAGAATCATGGAATGGTTTGGGGTGGAAGGGACCTCAGAGCCCATCCAGTGCCACCCCTGGACACCTTCCAGGTGACACTTCCACTGTCCCAAGCCTTGGACACTTCCAGGGATGAGCAGCCACACTATGGAACATCTTCATGCAAAATTCAAAGGTAACTTTCAAATAAATGGAAGGGAAGCTGTTGATTTTACAGCACCAAAAGAAATCTGCTGGAAAAGAAACTGCTGGCAAAAATGTCCCTCAAACAGCTTTGAAAATGGCTTTTTCTGGGTTTCCTCATTGCTCAGAGGCTGCAGACACACTCAGCTCCAAATATTTGCTGGAAATCTGAATTTTGAGTATTTTGACTCTGCCTTGAAGATGCTGCAGCAGCAGCAGGACTGGATTTCCCAGGGACCAACAGCAAGAGCATCACTGCCCCTTCCCCTCTGCCTCTCCTGCTGGGATGATCCCATCTCACTCCTGCAAACTGGGAGGAACTGGCCCAAAAAATCACGGAGGCAGCAGAAAGAAATCAGGAATCTCTTGGAGAATCAAGGGGATTGGGCACAATTTCCTTTTTAAACTTTACCCACAGGTCTGAAACAAGTTTGTTATGCTTCTGACTAATTTTTGTTTGATTTTCTTTCCCCCCCCTCCCCGATGAACAAACATCTGAATAGCTAAATCTGTAAACCATGGATATATAAAACCACAAAATCACACTCGCAGGGGGGGAGCCCATTAAAAACTCCCCAAACTGCAAATTACCGATTGTAAAAAGCCAGGTTTTTTTTTTTTTTTTTTTTTTTTTTTAAAGAGCCAGAAATGTGGCATCACAAAATACACTTTTCCACTTGTTTTGATAAAGGCAGCTCGGGATATTTCTCAGGGGAGCTGGCAAGTTTTGTCTTGCTTTGTTTTTAATTCAAGCAAGAGCTCATAATATATTAACACTGAGGAGCACTTGAAAAATATTCTTCTGTAATAAAGACCCTTGATGTGACCTTTCCTAACAGAACTTTCTGGGGATGTAGGACAAGATTTAATTTATTGGAAAGCAGTCACAGCTCCCAACACTGCTGCCATTGTGGGAGCTGAGCTGGAAGGAAAACTTCTGTTCCCTGTGTAAATATGGGCAAAGCCTCAGGGCACAGAGAGGGGATTGATGGACTGGTGGGCTTTGGGAGTGACAAACCCCAACCAGGGAGCCTTGGTGATGCTTGGAATTCAAAATGGGGTTTCAAACAGCACCTCTTTGTCCAGCATCCTTCCTGCTGAGCTCCAGGGCTTTGTGAAGGGAATGCAAGGAAATACTTCCCCTAAAGAATCAAAATATCCTTGTGGTTGGAAAAGAAACGAGGATGAATCCTATTTTCCATGTGTAGAGCAAAAAAAAGTCACTCCTAGGGCGTGGAGGGTGGGCTCCTCAAGCCAACTCCTCATTTTTGCCCCTGTTGGTGCCAGGATTTCCAAGTGGGAAGCAGAGGAGTGCCCAGGAGCTCTCCTGTGCACCAGCCTCGTCCTCACAGCAGCTCCTTGGGGAGCCAAAGGCACAAAACCCCCCCAAAACCCCAGAGAAGGCTCCAGCCCACCCCACTGGGATGCCTGGCAGCCCTTCCAGCTCCACTCAAACCAAGCCTTGTCTGCAGCCTTGAAAAGAGGCACTGCTGCACTGCTGAGGCTGCTCCAGAAGGATCAGTTTACACCAAAGATGTTTGCAGGAGGAGGAGGAGGAGGAGGAGGAGGAGAAGGAGGAGAAGGAGGAGAAGGAGGAGAAGGAGGAGAAGGAGGAGAAGGAGGAGAAGGAGGAGAAGGAGGAGAAGGAGGAGAAGGAGGATCTAAAATGCCAAAAATAGTGCCAGGCTGCTGAGGGCTTCATGCTTTAAATCCTCTGCACAAATGCACTTCAGTGTCCAGGTGATGCATTTATACATTTATACATTTATGCATAAAGGACTTTTCTCCAGAGCAGCAGCACCATTCTCACACTGGGGGGATGCTCACAGTGGGATACAGAGCATCCCAAAGGGAGATGAATGAAAACACACCTGGGATTGTGGCCAGGCCTTCACCTCTGAGCACATGGAGGCCACGAGCGTGGGTCAGGTGCTCGTGGTTTGTCGAGGGAGAGAAAATCACCTCCTCAAATTGGATGGAAAGTTTAAATAAGGCAAGTGGTGGAGAAAAGATCGTGGGATTATCAGCAGGATCCCAGACTGGTTTGGGTTGGAGGGACCTTAAATCCCATCCCATCCCATGGCAGGGACAGCTCCCACTGCCCCAGGCTGTGACAGGCTGTCCCCATCCTCCCAGGAAGGGATTTCTCCCTAATATCTAATCCAAATCTTTCTTTCTTTTTCTTCCTTTGTTTTAAGGCCATTCCCCCTTATCCTGTCACTGTCTGCCTGTGTAATTCCATTGGAATTGATGCTGAAATTGCTCAGAATCTCTGAATCCCAGAATGGGTTGGGTTGGAGGGACCTTAAATCCCATCCTATCCCATCCCATCCCATGGCAGGGACACCTCCCACTGTCCCAGGCTGCTCCAACCCCAATGTCCAACCTGGCCTGGGACACTTCCAGGGATCCAGGGACTTCTCTGGGAACCTGTGCCAGAGCCTCCCTCCCCTCTGAGTAAAGAATTTCCTCCTATTTAACCCAAATCTCTCCTCTCCCAGTATAAAACAATTCCAAGCAGCCACACCACTGGCAGGAGCAGCACAACGAGGACCCACAACGAGGACTTTGAACCTTTCTTTCCCTTTAATTGACTACACTGCCCCTCTAGGTTGGATAAATCCATTAAAACCCCGTGCATGGTCTTTAAAAGCCCCTCTGGGACTGAACAACTTGCAATTTTGGGACAGTAAGGAGCAGCAGAGCATGGCCTGGTTTTAATTATGCTCCCCAGTCCCTGCATGTAAAATTCCCTGTATCAAACAACCCTGGAGCAGCCATGGCTCTGCAGAAATCAGCTTTTCCTCCTGTAAACACAGGGGTTTGGGGAGGACTGGTTAAAATCCAGGCACACACATTAAATCCTGGTTTCCTTCCACAGCACAAACACTTTTGGGTTGCAGCAGCTCCAGAGCTGGGAGGGCACTTCCACCTCCACAACTGGACTGGTCCCAACCTCGAGTCAAAATCAACTCTGCTAAAATCAGCAGAGAGCTCTCATTCAGCCTTGTCTGATTGAGCTGAAACTCTGCTTGATACAGGCCTGAAATGTAAAACCAAACAGCTAAAAACTCTGCAAAAAAAAGCTTCTGCTGTGATCTCACACAGCCATGTTGAGATAATGATGGCACAGAGGGTTGGGGAGGCAATGAAATTTAAAATAAATAGAGAAATAAATAAAATGAAGGAGAAGAGAGAGAAAATAATCTGTAACCACACTCATACAGACAATGAAGCTTCTACACTTCAGCCAATCTTTAACAAAGAGAATTTTAGAGAGAAACAGCCAGCTTTTGATGAAAACCTTGTCTTTAACTGATTTTCTAGCAGCTCTAGAGATAAATGTTAAGCACAGAATATAATAATGAATAGGAATATCACAGTATTTTAACAAACAAAGTAATTTTTCAACCATAAATGGAGGGCTGGTTTCTGCTGAGGTTCTGCCACCAGGTGAAGCTTGGATATTTCTCACAGTCAGAGGAGGGGCTCTGTCTGAGTTCCTCTCCTTTTTCATTTTTACCTCTCTCCAGGACACCAATTTTTAATTTCTCCACTGACCTCACTGTTTTGGCTCCACTGCTCCCAGCCTGGCTCCAGGGCTGGCCTTCACCCTTAGGAGTTTTCTGACATCTGTGTTCCATTTTTCCAAAGAATCACTATTCCTCTGTGCCCCCCTGACCCACTGCAGTATAGACAACTCTAATTATAAGTCTCTCACTAATTAGAAGTGACTGGCACCCTGTATTTAAATAACATTTCTATCCTCACCATGACAAACATCACAATGCTTTAACCTTAGGATGCACAGTCAGGAGCAGCTGAGTGAGCAGAAATCTCTCTGTGGATGCTTCAGAAATTTATCTCAGAGTTTTTTTGGACAAATCTCCATCAGGGGGCTGTGCCAGCCATTGTTCTCATCAACCTCAGTGGGCATTTTCTAGAATAAACTCAATGATAATTGTGGGGCCTGACTTCATTGATTTATTTTTAACCAAGGCTTTATAGCTTGCTTAAGTCTACTTATCTGGGGCATGGCTTTCCTCATGGCAATGGGAGGAGATTTAATGGGAATTTTGATGCCTGGGACAGAGTCTGGGCAGAGTTAGAAGAATAAAGCAGAGATTTATTAAAAGGCTTCAAAGGATTCACCTTGGGCAGTGCAGGAGCCTGGTCAAGTCTACACCCAAGATGGACCTGAATATTGAGTTTTCACACTTATATAAGTGTGAAATATATTACATATATATATATGTGTGTGTGTAATAATATATATCACATATTGGGGTTCATTGTCCAACCCCAGCTCCAGGCTCTGCAGTCCCACCCTCCCACATTCTCTCCTCCATTCTCTGCTCTTTGCACTTTTTGGGGCTGGAGCTGCAGCGTGTCCTTGGTTGTGGGGCTGGAAAAGGATTGTTTGGTGTGCCTGAGCTGGGAGGAGACCTGGGAACACTTGATATAAAATTCAGAATCACACACCAATAGGGTAGAGAGTGTAGAAATGTGGAAGGTAAGACTCAGGCAGCAGCAGAGCCCAGGGCAGGGCAGGTCTGGCAGTACCTGGGTGCTGCAGCTCCGTCGTGGTCCAGCTGCCGTGCCAGCAGGCGGGCGATGGCAGAGAAGCTGTTGCTCATCCGATAAATGTCCCTGCTCTGGGAGCCCAGGATGCTGCAGAAACTGTCGGTGAGGCTCTTGATCTCCAGCAGGAGGATGTGGTGGAAGGAGTGCTCCATGTTGGCCAGCTGGTTCACCAGATACAGCAGAGACGTCCTGGCTCGCTCCTGGGCAGCGTGGGGACAGGAGGACAGGGCTGAACACGTGGGCAGTGAATAAATCATGGGGTGCTGATGGGAGAGGGCTGGGGTGCTGCTGGGACAGGACTGGGGTGCTCCTGGGACAGGATTGAGGTGCTGATGGGACAGGGATGGGGTGCTGCCACTGACTCACTGCCCTGGGGAAGAGTGGCTGCCCCGTGCTGGCAGAGCTGCCTCAAAAGCAGTTTATTTGTGGTTACACTGAAGTGACTTTTGTTCCTCTTGGTGTTACCTAACCCAGGACGTGTTGTCTCCTCCTCAGACCTGGAGCCAGATCCCTGAAGGCTCTTTAAGGGCCCTGCATGGTTCTGGGTTAGATCAGCCTGGCTCAGTGGCTCCTCTTTCACCAAGCTCCCCTTTCACCTCTGCTGAGTCTGGCTCAGCTGCTCCATAAAACCAGAGAATGGTTTAGGAGGGACCTTAGAGGCCACCCACTCCCAGCCCTGCCATGGGCAGGTTGCTTCCACAGGTTGCTCCGAGCCCCACCAACACCTCCAGGAGTGGGGAACATCCAGCCTGGACCTGAACATCTCCAGGTTAGGGCTCCTCTGTCCTAATTAGATTGGGTTCCACAGTCCTAAAAACACCCAAGTGGGAAAAGCAGTGGAAAAACCAGCAATTAACTCAGGAACTCCCATCAGATCCTTCACTGGGGGAATCCTTTAACTCAGGGAAGCCCACTTGGTCCTCAGCAGATGGAAACAGGAACTGGGAGAAGTTTGGATTTCAGCCTGTGCTGAAACACAAACAAAGGCAAACACAAACAGCTTTCTTCTTGCCAGAGCTCATGTGCCACGCACGTGCTCTGCTCTCTGCAGGGTCCCAGCCCCATTTCCTCCTCTCTTCTGGGACCTCGGAACCAGAGAGCAAAATCTGCTCCAAGTTTGGTTCCAGGCCCAGCTGGGCTATAAAAACACCCGGGAGATTTTGGCAGGACGTGGTGGGAGCATCACGGGCGAGGCAAGGCAATGGAAGGAAAAATCAGCTCTGCTGCATCCTGCCCTGGCAGGGACACGGGGGAAGAGTGGATCACACAAACCCCATCCCTTCAGCCACGTGGGGAAAAGTCCAGTTCACCCTGGGCTGCTGGGACCAAGGAGCTTTTTCCTCAATGGCTTGGGCAAGGTTGGCTTTTTGGTGTGCACTCATTTATTTGAAAGCCGAGCCTTCCTCCAAGAGATAAACAGAGGCTCAATTAACATTTAAAACGCATTTTTGTTTTCTAAACAAACTGTGCAGCAGACTAAATGGAGGAGCAGTTTTGACCATTTTCCTGTCACTTTGATCCAGCTGGAGAGTCTCCAGCCATGCTGAAATGCTGCTACTCGCCTGGAGTGAGGTAAAAGAACAATAAACTTGCCTGAGTAACATAATATGTAACTGTTTCACAAAACAAAATTAAAGCAAAATAGCTCCACATGAAAGCAGCCCTTATCCCTGCCACAATTCTTATCCCAAATGTTTCCCAAAGCCTATTTGGATGCACATAACCCCTTGTTATTTCAGCAGAGCCCGTTTGATGTATTTGTGTATTTTCTCATAAGCAGCCCTTACGTTTTATGGCATTACATCTGCCAGAAGGTGAAGAGCTAAAGCACAAGAAATGAGGTGTGGCAAAGTGTTGTGCTGTTTTTCTCAAAAACAGGTTCAGGAGATTACAAAAAGATCACAGGGCTTTCAGAAATAACTCCAGCTCCCAGGTGGCTCAAAACATAAGGGGAAAAATAAAGTGTCTGATCACCCTGAGCCCCAGGATGGTTTTTCATTTGCACAGATTCGTGGTTAAGGGACAAGTTCTGATTTCAGCTTGCCCCTTAGAGTGTTGCTGACACCAACAGAAGTGATGTGTGTAAACAAGGAGCAACCTTTCAAATCCAGAGCTCTCCTCTCTCCCAGGGTCCCTGGAAGCACAAGAGGTTTTTTTTCCAGGAGCCAGCAAGGATTTGCTGCTCAGATCTACAGCCTCAAGCATCAAAGGCCAAGCCTCAATCCTTGCCACCTCTTCTCCCCAGGCAAGCCTTCCAGTGAAATAAAACATCAACAAATAAAACTCCAGCACTACCATTGATGTCTCCTTGCCCCCTTGTTTTGCCTGGCCAGGCAGGGGACATCAATTCCTGTCTGAGAAGTGACAGAATATCCCAGGCACAGCACAGGGAGAGGGGGAGAAGGGATGAGGGAGGGTTTGGGAAGGCCCTGACACAAGGGCTGTGAGATGAGACCACCAGAGGCACAGTGGGTTGATGGTTGGAAGTCCTGGAGGTTTTTTCCCAGCCTGGGAAAATGATTTATGATTAAAATGACTTATGATTCCATGATCCCACCTATGCTCAGGAATCAGCCATGGAGGCATTTCCTTCTCCTCTCAGGTGAGGGGATTCTTTGTAAAATCAGCTTAGACAGGGTTTGGAACAGCCTGGGGTAGTGGAAGTGTCCCTGCCCACAGCAGGGGAATGGGATGAGCTTCAAGGTCCCCTCCAACTCCAACCACTCTGGCATTTTAAGACCTTCCACAATTCAGAATTATTCACACCTCCTAACTTTATAGAGAGCAAAACAAGAGAGGAGCTGTTGATCTCCTGGGGGAACGTTCACCTCCAGCACCCTCTGTGTGTTGTTTTTATCCCTGTTTTTGAGCCTGGAGCAGGGTCCCTGGATGTCAGTGACAAACACAGCAAACAAATGACAAATGTGTCCTCCCCATGGGCTGGGATGCTGCTGAGTCAGCAGCTTCCTAAAAAAAAAAAAAAAATCAGACTCATGACACAGGACATGGTGAGATCTTACTCCACACTTACTCCAGGGAGACTGGACATCAATTATTCAGTGCAGGCTGTGTGTGCTCCACTCATAAACCAACAGGTTAAAAATACGAGGGGGAAAATATTCTTTGAATCCTGTCTTTGTAAACTTTAGTGTGGAATTTCCAGCACTACGTGAAACCCGACAGGGCCAGTTGGTTCCTTGCTTATTTTTGGTTTGGTATAAAACAATCACAGCAACAAAAGGCAAAATAAATAAATTCAGCCCCTTTGAAGTAGCAGAACTCAGTGGAATCAGAGCCTCAGGGACACCCAGATGGGGAGAGCTGGTTCAACACCCCAAAACACAGAATCCAAATGAAATCCTTCAGTTCTGAGCCCAGCTGTGCTCAGCTGAGGATTGGCTGGTTAGCAACTGTAAAGTTTCTAGAAGAATGCTGACTCTCAAATATTAAATACAGAATTATATGTGGTCACCTGCAGATCTTATAAAAGTAAAACTTGTTGGGGGATGGAAGTAAACAAGGAGAGAACAAAAAACTTCATTTGGCTCCCAGGCCTCAATGAGATTTTGGCTCCTCTTTCCACACAACAGAAATCAGATTTACAAAGCCAAGCCAAATCTGGTTTTGATTCTTCTGAGACAAATTTAATTTTACATGAATACAAAGTTCCAGATCAGTAGAAACAGCAAGGATGGTGCCTTCCTGTGCTGCTCACACACACGAGGCCCAGCCAATGCACACCCAAATTAATTGCCAAAGGGGCAAGGACTGGAATTAAATCATCTTTAAGGTCCCTCCAACCCAAACCATTCCATGATTCCATGGCAGGGCAGTCTGGTTACTCATGAAGAATGAAATAAGTGGATTCATTACTTTATAAAGATTAAAAGCACCCCCAAACCCAAGCAAGTCTTTTTGGTTTTGTTTCCCACCTTACCTCATCGAGGTGTCCAACAGCTCCAAAGATCTTTGCAGTCTGCCCAATCAAAGTGGGAAAAGTCTCCCCAATTTCCCTCAGGGTGGGAAGGAAAGGGGCCAAGGCTGCAGGTTCATAGCTGGATATTTCCAGAAGGATGTTTAGAATCACCTCGCTGTGGTTGGGGTCCCTCAGGTGTCCAAATAAAAATGGCAAACACTCTTTCAGCACCTGTTAAAAAAAACAGAAACAAATTGGATCTCTGTTTTGAATTGTGAACGTATAACCAGAGAGACACAACCACCAGAGTGATAAAAATAAGCCACCAGACTCTGAGTTAACAGAAGAGTTTTCCACTCTTGGTGACCTTTGCATGGAGCTTTGCTGAGGTCAATCCAAGTTCAAGTGAACATATGGAGTAAGGGTAAACTCTGCTGTAAAATATGGCAGTTATGCATAAATAAGTAAGGAAATGCCCAATTTAAAACAAAACAAAACAAAACACCACCTCTACCAAATATTTTCCTTGCTCCAGGCCAGTCTATATTTTATTGATTAAAACAACATAAGACTCAGCCTTCCTCAGTGATGCAGTAAATTAAAGTACTTGTAGAAATTTTTGGGGTTCCTCCAGAAACTAAACAGTGTGGAAAGGTCAGGAGCTGGAATAAAGGGAAAAAATGGGGGCAAGACCCTCACTGCACAATAAACGTGCTGGAGGTAAGTTGTCATTTCTTGTAAGAACCCAATTTTCAGGAGGCTGAGGGTGTAATCCTCAGAGCCATCTGCCAAACAGGATGCAAGTCCCCACTGAGGGATTAATTCAGGATAAACAGGCACACTAAATTACCTTGGATTCATGGAAACTGCTGCATCTGTGGAAAAGACATTCAGACACAGGGCATAAAACAACTCCTTCTTCTGTTCCTTTTTTTTTTTTTTTTTTGAGGATTATCAGTTCTCATCAGTTCCTAAATCATGTTAATTGTCCTTGACATGGATTTTAATACAGTTCATGTACACTGACAGAAACACAGTTATGGGATTTCACACTCAGCTGACAGAGGAAGAGCCAAAAACATTGGAGACAAATGGTTTAACCCAAACCTTCTTGTCCAGCAGAGTCTTTGCTCCGTTCTCCTTATGCCTAGGTGGAGGATTTGGGATGGAATTAAAGAATTGACAGGGAATTAGCAGAGGCAGGCACTGCCCTGCGCTGTGCCATTCCTCCCTCCCCAAGCCTGTGCCACACAAACCCTCCAAAGGAAGGGCAGGGAGACACTCCCAGCGTGCTTTACCCCCACTTGTCTCTTCCTGGCCACGGTGTGCAGGAGCCTGAGGATGTGCAGCTGCTCGGGAGGGTCCAGCTGGGCCATGGGTGCCACCAGCTCTGGCAGGCGGGCGAGGATCGGCCGCGGCCGCTGCTCGTAGAGCGCGGGCAGCACCCGCAGCAGCATCGAGTTCCCTGGGGACACACAGGGACCACGGTCACTCAGGGCTCTGCTGGTGCCTTCAAGCTTAGCTTTCCTATTTCCAGACTCAGCACTGCACTGGTGTAGAGCTCTGAACTTTATAGAAACGTGTCGGCTATTGCTGCAGGAGCGGTGAAGAAATCACGGGGCACGGTGCGGATGCACAGAGCTGGGCAAGCTGTGTGAAAACAGGAAAGCTTCCCCAGGGACTGCCTGAGGGACACGGGAGAGAGAAACAGAAAGGGAAGAATCTCAAACAAAGATGCACCTGCTATTATTTACAGGATGTGTACTGTGAGAAATTGTATGGTTTACAGTGAGAACATCTTGCTAGAGGTGTTGCTTGCTCTGGCCAATGGGCTGTGTTCTGGTTTTTTGGGTTAGGGAGTGAGTGACACCACAAGGAAGGTGGTGTCACAATAAAGTGTCCCTTTCCTGTCTTGAAAGGAGACCAATGTCACTGTGTGTTTCATGATCACTGTTCCATTGCTGACTGCACACCAACAGTGATGGCACAGCTTCCTCTCAGAGGCAGAAGCTGCACTTTATTGTAGAAATACTCACATTTTATAGCCCACCTCATTGAACCAAGAACAGGGTCAGCTTATTGGTCCAAGGAAGGCAAAACACCTCTTACAAACTTGCTTTTACCAAAACATCACCTCTCACACGTATGCATCCTGTAACCCACTGCAGGTGCAACTTTTGTTGTTAATTCTTTCCTTTCTGGTTCCCTTCAAACACCTGGGAAAGCAGAGTTTTCCTGTATCCACATCAGCGAGTTCTCCTCCCAGCTCAGGCACACCAAACAATCCTTTTCCAGCCCCACAGCCAAGGACACGCTGCAGCTCCAGCCCCAAAAAGTGCAAAGAGCAGAGAATGGAGGAGAGAAGGTGGGAGGGTGGGACTGCAGAACCTGGAGCTGGGGTTGGACAATGAACCCCAAGGTGGAAATGGACCAAAATTTATAAAAGTGTGAGAACTCCTGACTTGGGGTCCACTGTGCATTCACATCCAGGCTCTTGCACTGCCCAAGGTGAATCCTTTGAAGGTTTTTAATAAATCCCTTCTTTATTCCCTTAACTCTGTCCAGCCATCACTGCACTGGGGAGAGCCCCACAACACCAGCACACTCCTGGAGACACCAGTTTAACAATCACAGAACAGTTTGGGTTAGGGAGATGTCAAAGCTCATCTCCTTCCACCAGGCTGCTCCAACCTGGCCTTGAAGGATCATCAGTGCAAAACCAGGGAGGCATAAAGCTGTAAAAAATTGTATATTGGGCCAAGAAACCAAATAAATTATCCAAATAGAGCAAATCATTGCAGGCGTAACAACATTGCGTAAAGAAAACCCTACGAATTCCTATTAATTATCATCTTATTTCTGAATATCATGAGAACATTGCTTAATAAGCTTTCAGTTTTGGATGATGCTCTGTTGAGTCCTAGGCCAAACTAAGTGTGATTTCAATTAACTTAGAAACAAAAGAAGACAGAAACAAAAGACAAAGAAACAACAAAAACAAGAGACGAAACTACAATTCTCCTTTGCTGAGATTCAGAGTTCCAAATCAAATAAGCATCATGTGGAAGGAATAATTGGTTAACAGAGAGCTAAACATGCATTTGAACAGAAATAGTTAAAAATGCCATTTCCAGGAATAGAAAGGAGCCAAAGAGAGCCAACTGCAGACAGACAGAGATATGCTAAACCCTCTCTCACACGTTTTCTTAACATGTCTGTGCATAATTCAATTTGAAGCCCAGGCTCATACCAAAATATATAACTTCACATCGCAGTACATGCCTGCCTCGATGGATTTAAATTTCACTTGAGCAACATATGGAAAACATCTGCCTATTGCAAGCTAGCATGGCTCCTTTCTGTCAACCCTTGCAAGTCCTCACGGCCTCTTTGGATTTGGTTTCCAAGAGGAATCAGCTCTCTGGCCTGCTGCTTTTCCTCCCGTTCACATCTGAGCTGGATAACTGTGGAAGATCAGCAGATCTGTTCATGGATGGTAGGAAAGGGATATTTGGGTTCAGGCTGGAGCACTTGGGGCTCTTGCCAGATACAGCAAATGCACCCCAGGACACGGCTGGGTCTCACAGCCTCCCCCTGAGCCAAGAAACCAGAACATAACTCAGGCAGGTTCAGACAGCTCTGAGCCCAGCAGCTTGTAATGATCCCTGAGGGTCCTCATCCTCCTCAGGAGCACCTCTGCACTCAAGCCAGCCACACTTCTGCACTTTATCCTGCTTGGGGGATCCCTGGCTGCTCCCCAAAGGCTGCCCCGAGCCCCCAGTGCAGCCAAAGGCCAGGTCAGACCCCACTGCCACCCCAGGGACACAGCACATTTATCTGTTCTACACAATCACAAAGGCCAGGGGCAAAGGAAAGAGGTTTGCTGCTCAATCACCCTGAAAAGAAGAGCAAAGTGCCCCATTCTGGCCATTCCCCAACCACATTCCCTGGGCTCTTCCTGATGTTCCCAGCAGATCTGGATTAAAAATGTCACCATTAACGTTCCCTGGGATTGATGCCAAGCAAAAATTCCCCCAGAGGGAGAAGCTGGAGATCAGGGAAAGGTTCTGCTTCCCCCCGAGGGTGATGGGCACTGCCCCAGGGAATGGTCCCAGCCCCGAGGCTGCCAGAGCTCCAGGAGTGTTTGGACATTGCTCCCAGGGATGCCCAGGGTGAGATTTTGGGGTGTCTGTGCAGGGCCAGGGGCTGGACTGGAGGATCTTTGGGGGTCCTTTCCAACTCAGGATACTCAATGATAAGAAAGGTGAGAGGATGGATTTACTGGAACTTTTCTAGACTCGTGTCATAGTTGAAAATTGAAACATTTTGTACTGATTACACCAAAAATTCTTTTCTCTCCGGATGACGTCGTGCTTGCAGCACAAAGTCCTTTCTTTACACTTGTCCTTGCTTAAATTGCACGGGAAGTTTTCTGCCCACATGGAACAGAACCCTTAAACTCCAGTCAAATTTCAGCAATGATTGCAAAAGATGAAATTCCCGTATTCCTGGACAGGCAAATTTCCTCTCAGCTCTTGAAGTGTGATGGGAAGGAATCCAAGAGGGAGTAACAACAACCAAAAAAAAAAAAAAAAACGGCTTTAAGCAAGGAAAGACACCAACCTGAGCCATGCTATTGCCTAAGCTGGGCTGTCAGGGCTAGGAAAGGATCTGGAAAGGAAGAGTGATTATTTAGTCTGGCAAAGAGCGTTTGCAGTGTGGGGTGTACCAGAGGAGTGATGCAATCACAGATGATGGACTGCAGCCACCAAACCTCTCTGAACAAAAAATACTTTGTGCAAGCACAGCTCTGGGCAGTTTCCTGCAGCAAACACTGCTGGGCTGATATTCCCTAACCAAGATAAATGAAAAGCAAAGGCAATCAGAGCAACCCCCTCCCTCTGCAGCGAGATTGAGGTGACCTCACTGACGTGGAATTGCTTTTAAGTGAAGAACCTGTGTGCAAACGTGTAAATAATCCCACATATCCCAGTTTGGGTCTGCTCTTCAGAGACCTCAAGAAAGGTCAGCAGGCACAACCCCGTTGGCCATTTTCTGGAATTTTCACGTTTGAGGCAGCAAGGGATACTCAGAGCTGTTTGTTTGTCACATCTTTACGGCTCTGAGGGGATTTATGCACACCCAGCTCCCCAACCCCCTGATTCCCAGAGCTCAGACAGCCAGGGGTGATTATTGGGAATTCTGAATAAGTCACTTTTTCCCAATCTTGCTTCATCTGCCTCAATCTAAACTAAGAGCCTGAACATGTTTGTTGTGTGAGAATGGAAAGAACATCCCACTCAACTCCCTAAATACCTCCCTTCCCTCTTCCTTCCCTGCCACCCTGACCCCCAATACTTTCCAGATTCGATTTTCTCACCCTCCCCAAGCAGACCACACACTGGGAATGACGATTCCAACACAGTGTCCTACAGCTGGGGACACTGCACGGCTGCAGGTGAGCCAGGGAGGGACCCCAGGGCTGTGACAGGGTGGTGCCAGCCCTGCTCCCATTCCTGGAAAAGGCTGCCCCAAACTCCAGCTCTGCCCATCCCAGCAGCACAGGGGGATTGGGAACAACAAGGAGCACATTCCCACTGTCCCATGGGCACAGGGATTTTCACTCCAAAGGGAATTCCCACAGACAAAAATCCCAGCACCAAGACCAACTTCTCCCCCAGGATGACCCAGGTTTGGCACAAACCTACCTGAAAATCATGGAATCATTTAGGCTGGGAAGAACCTCCAGGATCAGAGCCCAGCCTGTCCCCACCAGCCTCCCAGGGAGGAATTCTCCCCAATATCCAAGGCACAGGTAGTGCAGGTTTGGATAAGCAAAACCAGAGACACAAAGGGAAAGGGAGCACAGATTCCAAGTTAGATGTAATTGCAGGAGGGGTTTTTTGCTGTTCTCTGGATATTTCATAATTTGTACGATCACCCCTAATCTCACCTCAGCAAAGCATCTCTGACATGATTAATGGCCTGTTGAACCAATAAGATTACAGAATTTAAACCAGATTAACATCAATAAGACTCAGATTAAATTAATGTTTCATCCAAAAGCACCTTGTGTCGCTTTTTCAAAGGTAACAGACACAACTCCGATTGTGCAGCTGCAGATTTACAGCTCCCAAAACAGGATACAGCACTAACAGATTATCCACGGAGCAATGGTGGTGTAAGTGCTAATTAGGGCTGGAAAAGCAGAACCCTAACAAGCTGTTAGAACTCCTTAAGAGTTCTCCTGTATTGCTTAAAGCAATAAACTGTTGGTATACAATAGAATTCCTTACACAGCAGTGCCAAACTCTCCAAAAAAGCTGCACTATTTAGGTTTTAGACACGTGTATCCAAACCAACTCCAGGTATGTTTATTTTTCTACCAATCCCCTCCAGAGTCCTGGCAAACAAACTGAATTCACAGGGAACTGTTGGAAAAGATATGGATTTAACAGGAAGGTCTCACAGAAAGATTTTTGAATATAGAATCTGAAAAAAGAAATAAAAATAAAAGCAAGTTTTGAGATAGAAAAAAGAATTGCTGAGCCAGTCTTACTGGATAGCTAGAAGGCAAAGCATGTGTTAGCATGTGAGTTAGAAGGGGTTTTTATGACTCAGAGCAAAGGATAAATCTACCTTAAACAAAAGATGTTTTTACCCAAGCAAAAAGATTTTTACAAACAAACAAGAAAGCCATTGTTGCAAGTAAAAAAAGAAATCTCAAAAATTTCCATTACAAGAAAACTGGAAAACAACTTCTAACTTAAACTGTAACACACTAGCTTTTTGTAATTAAAAAACGATGAATATAGTGATGTTAGCAGTTTTGATAAGCTAGAGATAAAAGTATTGATTGGTGGTCATGTATAAAAATGCTCTGCAATAAAAAATATATAATGAATTGTAAGCAGAACTAGAGTGGCTTCAGACAAACCCACAGCTGTGGCTAAAAAAGCTGTGAGCTGGGCTCTTGTCACCCACGACCCGTGAATTGCTGCACCATTTAAATACAATAAACAGCATTTTAAAGAATAAATAAATCGCTGTATCACTTAAAGACAACAAACAGCATTTTTAAAGAGCCCCCTAGAGCCTCTCATCCCTCATTTCTGTTCAGGGAACACTTTCTTTTCCACAAATGACACAAAACCAACTCAACCCCGCTCATCCCGAGCGCTGCCAGCCCCGGGCACGTCCCGATCCGCCCGGGGGCGAGCGCGGCTCTCCCCGTTTGTGCCCTTGGCCACTCAGAGCATCCCGCAGGCAAACCTGGAGGGTTGGGATTGAGCAAATCCGCCCGCCCCTTTCCCTTCCCTTCCTTCCCTTCCCATCCCCTCCCGGCTAAAAGGCACAACCAGGAGCGCTCCGGTTTCAGCGCTCATTCATTGTGCGCTCCGCTCGCCACCCTCGCCTCTGCGGTAGCCACGAACTGCCCCAGCCCGGGCACGGCCAGGGAAATGCTGGCCCGAGGATTCCTCTCCCTGCTCGCTCTGCTCTGTGTTTCCAGCGCTTCTGGCTCCGCCGTGGATGAAGAGGATGACTACGAGCTCATGTACGTGAACCTGGATAATGAGATCGAAGGTCCGGCCCCTGCGACTGAGGAAGGTGAGTGAATTTAACCCGAATTGCACAACTGCCTTCGTTCTGAAAGAGTTATTACCGGGAAGCTCGTGGCTGTAGATTATTATGGGCTATAACGGTAAAGACCTTGGATGGGATGCCTTGGACTGTGCTTTAGGATCTTTATTTCTCGGTTTTCTTGCAAAACGCTGTTGCTGTCGCTGTCGCAGGGGTTTAGGATCTCTGTGCTCACAGCCCTGCACTGTTCTGTGCTGATACAAAGGGAAAGGCACAGGGCAGGGGGTTGGAACATGACTCCAACCCCAACCAGTCTGAGTCCACGATTCTGGGACAGTCTGGAGGACACGGGCTTTGCACAGAGCCAGATTTTGCCAAGCGCTCCCATTTAAAACTAAGGGACACAAAGGAATAGCAACATCTGTACGTTCCCTTGCAGCTGCTTCGTGCGACTGCCAGCGGGAGCACAGCAAGTGGGACAAGCTGTTCATCATGCTGGAGAACTCGCAGATGAAGGAGAACATGATGCTGCAGGCTCTAGATGAGCTCCCCAGGCTGGAGCTGCAGACCCTGAAGGCAGAGCTGAGCCAGCTGGCCACCACCCTGGCGGGCACCTTGGCCACTGTCACGTCCCAGGTGGTGTCCCAGGTGGAGCAGGCGCTGGTGAGGAGCAGGGAGCAGGCTGAGGAGGCCAGGAGGCTGCAGGAGTGGGAGCAAGGGAAGGTTCTGGAGCACGTCCTGCAGCTGAGCCACAACGTGTCCGTGAGGCTGGGCTGGCTGGAGAGCGCCTGGAGCAGCAGGGCCGAGCAGCAGGCACAGGAAACAGCCCTGCAGGATAAACTGGATGGCAGCAGAGGGGACAATCCCATCCTGAACTCGCTGTGGAAGGAGCTGCAGCAGACCCGGGCTGAGCTGAGGGTGTCACAGCAATGGGCAGCTCAGCACCTGCTGCCAGCAGGTAAGGCCAGCGTGAGAGCTCTGGGGGCCACTCCAAAACAGGGCTCCACAAACCCCTCCTGGGCACCTCCTTCAACCCCAGGAGCAGCTTTGAGCAGGTTGAGCCTGAAGGGTTGGGGAACCCCAGCACTTGTGGAAAAAGCAGCACTGAGCTTTTCAAAGGTGGGATCAAAGAAAGTTTTCATCAAAGCTCCTCTTGCAGGGCAGGATCCCACCTCCTCCAGGCCCTCCCAGATCAAAGCCATTGCCAGAGAGCAGCAAATGGATTTTAGACAGCCAGGTTATGTTCTCTCACCTTTTGCCTTCCCAGCTGGTGACTCCTGGTGTTTGCAGCCATGGAGCTTCTCCAGTTCTCCTGCATGTTCCCACTCCTCCCTCTCCCTACATTAACATCTCCTCACCAGCTCCAGCGTCCAAAGCTGCTGCCAGCCAGCCAAGAACACTTCCAGGGCAGGGAGGGCACATTCCCTGCATGCCAGTGGGAAGATTCTGCCCTGAATATTCCCTCTGGCACAGAGAAAACAGTAACCCTCAGTGCTGCTGTTGTTTGGGGGATTTTTCCCCTTCCAAAACATTTGCACTGGTCAGTGAGGTGGTTATAGAAAGGTGGGCTCATACATCAAATCCAAACTCAGTTTTTCTGTCCAAAAAAGCAGCAGCTCGGGTGTGGCAGAGCAGCCCCCCGTTTGTTTAAAGTGTGGGTGCAGAATTACCGTGTGCACTGAAATCACCCTGCCCTCCAGCGAGCTGTCACTGCCTGGCTTCTGCCTGCTCATTAATGCCCCTGTTATCCACAAATTGAAGTTATTGCAACCTAAACTCCCAAAATCTAGCCCTGCAGGGTGGGTGCAGCATCTCCAGACTGAGCTCTCACACCAGGGAGCAGAGAGGAGCAGTAATTGCTGCAGCAAAGGCACCAACACAACCACAACATCAAAGCTTTTCCAGCCTAACCTGAACCCATCCCTTCATGCGGGGCAGGGACTCAGCTTCAGAAGTTAATTGTTCTCACTGCTTTATCACAACACCTCAAATCTTTGTTTGCTGGGAGGAGGTCTTGGAGCATATTCCTCTTTTCCCCAAGCACAAATCTTGCAGAGAGCATGTTCTCATTCCTTATCTCCCTGTGCCCCAGCAGCGACTCCGCACCAGGTGAGAGCAACAAACTCGGTGTGCACTGAGGATCATCAGTGGAAATTCGGTTTATTTCCACTGGTTCCCACGTGATTTTACAGAAAACAGCCATACTTGTAAATGTAAAGGCTGCATTTTAAGTACTTCCAGAGTATCTCTCTGGATTTTTTTTTTCCAAGGGAATTTTTAGCAACTGACTTTAATTTCTCACATCTTGACTTACTGCCAGCCATACTCTTGAGGGATTTTCTAATCACACTTTTTTGTTCTTCACTGAGGCTGGTTTTAATTTTGTTTAGGCTTTGATAATAGAGCCTGAAAGCCTGCTAATTAAAAGCTTTTTCACAATAGCGCTCCTAAGTAGCATTTTAAGGAGAATCCCCAGCAGTTGCTCACTGACCCTGCCCCTCCTCAAAAGGGTCAATGGGAGATGTAAAATCTGCTCAAAGCTGGAGGGAAGCAGCCCATGAAATACCACAGCAGCTCAGTCCTGGAGGGCACAAAGAGTCCTTCATTTCCCTGGAGCAGAAATTTCCACACACGTTTTAGACATTTCAGATCCTCCAGCTTCTTTTAACAGGAAATGAAGCAGCTTAATTGGAGAAGGGGCTGCTTGTTCCCTCCTGTCACCTTGGGTATTAACTTAGGTACAACCAGGGAACAGCACAGAAACCACCAGAAATGTCTTGGCTTTACTGATCACCAATTGCTTTCCCAAGCTGCATAAATTTCTGTTAGCGGTTTTAACTAATTTAATTTCCATTATCAACACTTTGATTAATTGGACATGAGAGAAGAGCTGGTTTAAAAGTATCAGTTGTCTCATAATTTCCTCTATTTAACCAGTGCCCATGAGTGCTCCTGACCAAAACAATTCTAAAGGAAGGGCCAGGAATGTAAATTAAATAAGCAAGCCCATCTCAGCATGTTCCTGCCAACATTTTCTGCTTTCCAGAAGCTGCAGTGCCCTGGTGCCCTGTCACCCATGGCACAGCAGTTCCCTTCTCCAGGCACAGCCTCCCCTCTCTCCTGGGAACACCTTGGTGTCCAAACCTGTTTGAGGGACCCCTGGCCCCTGCCCTCAGCACCACTGAGGAATTTTCCTGACTCCACGCTTAGAGCAGAGGATGAAACAACACTTCAGTGGCACCGAGGGAGGGTTACCCAATTCCCTGGCAGAATTACCCACTTGAAAGGGCTGAAAGAGTCCCTGTCCCAGGAGGTGATGCTCCATGCAGAGCCAGCTTCCCAAAGGGAGCAGCAGGCTGCATTAACCCTTTGGATGCCACAGGACTGTACCGTGCCCCCTGTGCAGGCAGGAAGAGCCAAGAGATTCCTGCAGCCAGATTATCCCTTGCCATAGTGCCCAGCAATTCCTCCAGCAGCTCTGACAGCTCCTTCCAACCGTCCTGGGGTAGGTTCCTGCATCCCAGGGGATGAGCTGAGCTCTCAGCTCCCTTGGGGAAGCCTGGAAGTGAGCCCTGGCTCAGGCACTGGGACAGGCTGCCTGGAGGAGTGATGGAATCCCCATCCCTGGAAGTGCTCAAAGGGAGGGGATGTGGCACTTGAGGGCCTGGTGGTGCTGGGCTGGCAGTTGGACTTCCCACAATCAGGGAATGGTTTGGGGTGAAGGGATCTAAAAGATCTTCTTGTTCCAATCCCACCTGCCATGGGCAGGGACACCTTTCCCTATCCCAGGCTGCTCCAAGCCTTGTCCAGCCTGGCCTTGGACACTTCCAGGGATGGGGCAGCCACAGCTTGGTGACCAGAGAGATCTTTTCCAACCTTAACGAATCCATGTCATATCAAAAGTCCCAGCTGTGCACATACAAATAAACCAGCTCTTATTTACCTGACAATTTTCTCAACTTTTCTAGGCTGTGAAACTGCAATTCTGTTCCCCATGCGCTCGAGGAAGATCTTTGGGAGTGTCCACCCGAGCTCTGGAATGACCCTGAGCTCCTTCACTGCCTGCATCTGGCTCAAGGTGACCGAGGCCTTGGACAAAACCATCATCTTCTCCTACGGAACCAAATTCAACCCCTATGAGATCCAGCTGTACCTGAGCCGGGACTCGGCCGTGCTCGCCGTGGGCAGTGCCCAGCACAAGTTGGCTGCCAGAAATGTGGTTACTCCTGGCAAGTGGCTCCACCTGTGTGGCACCTGGAGCTCAGAGAACGGATCTGCATCCCTGTGGGCACAGGGGCAGCTGGCAGCCAGTGCCTGGGACGTGGCTGGGGCTCACACCATCCCCGACGGGGGCATCCTGCAGCTGGGGCAGGAGAAGAACGGCTGCTGCGTGGGAGGGGGCTTTGATGAAGCTCTGGCTTTCTCAGGGAAGCTGACTGGCTTTAACCTGTGGGACAGAGTGCTCAGCCCTGCTGAGGTGACAGCTCAGAGCACAGGGGACACCTGTGGCACCCGGGGCAGTGTGGTGGGCTGGGGGGTCACGGAGGTGCTGCCCCATGGAGGAGCCCAGTACGTGTCCTAAAGCTGGGCCGTGCACAGGGCGTGGATTTCACAGAGCTGAGCAGCAGTGTCACAACCAGCAGAGCTGCAGGAGCCCCTGCCTCTGGAATTGCAAGGAACAGCAGCACTGCAAGGTCACAGAACTGTGGAGAAGGGATTGATCTCTGCCTGCTGTCCTGGCCAAACCCTGAAAACATCCCCACAGACCAAGGCACTGGAAAAGCTGCTCCTGGGGCCAGGCAGCTCTGTCTCTCCAGCAGGGTTTGCTGATGTATACAGGGAGGGTCACCACGGACATTCAGGAGCCACATGGAGCTCCTGACATCCCTGCTGAAGAAAAATCTGACCTGACTCTGCAGAACAGAGCAGCTGTGGCTGCCCCTGGATCCCTGGAAGTGTCCCAAGCCAGGATGGACAGGGCTTGGAGCAGCCTGGGACAGTGGGAGCTGTCCCTGCCACGGCAGGGGTGGCACTGGACCTTTAAGGTCCATTCCAACCCAAACCATTCCAGGCTCCTCCAATCCTTGGGTTCTATAGTGTTAATGTGAATTTTACAGAGGAACCACCCAAGTCCAGAAATGTGCTGTCTATTAATCCTTGTTAGTCATGAGTAGACTCTAAGAAAGCTAGTTCCTTGTTTAAAGCATTATTTATGCCACAGATTGATATAAAAATAATATTCCCCATCATAATCTGATGTTACATTGGGAGGAAACGCAGCTGTATTATATTGTACATTGACTTTGTGATAATTTTATTGAAATTATTTTTGTAAAGTTGTTTTGTAAATAAAGATACTTTACTAGACTAAAACACTCTACTCTTCTCATAAACCAAAATTCTGAGTCGAGTCCCAGGTGGGACTTTTTTCTCATTTTGAACCATGCAGTTTTAGCTGCAGAGAGACCCTGTGCACAATCCTGGCTCTCTGGGCCCAGGTTTTAAGGTACCTTTGGACTTGTTTGCTGCCCTCGGGGGGGTTTGTACAAGACAGAATTGCTGCTCAGTGCCAGTGATTCTCTTCTCTCTCAAATCCCAAACCCCCTCCAAGCCCAGGGCTGGATCCAGAGCACAGCAGCAGCTGCAGAGAGCCAAGGAGCTGCTGATGGTTTTCATGTGGGAAACAGCACAAGCAGAGAATGATGAATGCCCTGCTCGCTGGGTGTGTAACCATTTACAACAAGAACCATCACTTGCTACCTGTTGAAGCCTCTGAACAAGTTATCATGAGGAATGTCTTATTTAAAGCAATTCTTATTTCCCCTGGAAGCAGCCCATCCTTCTTCTCTATTCCCTTGTTTCTCTGTCTCTCATTCTCTACAGATATCCTAAGAACACACTTGGACAAATTTCTTTCTGCTACACTTCCTCCTGACCATGACAGATCCTTAGTGCCTGGATACAAAAGTAGTAAAAAAAGGTAAATTCCACTTTCCTGTGCCATTCGAGGGGGTTGTGCTTCATACCTAAAGTTACACTGCTCCAAAGTTTTGGCAGCACTGCTTATTTAAGGGAAAAAGAATTGCTCTGATTGCTGGAATTTCTCCTGTTCCCCTGCAATAAAAAGGTATCTACGTTATAAATGCTGGGCAGTAAACTTGACAAAAATCCCTCACTAAGTAATATCTACAAATAACCTTAGCTACAGTGCAATGAAATATTACCTCTGTTCATCTCTGGCAGCCAAACCCCAGATCCTGGGAGTTACAAAAACACTCGGGGTCCCAACACTGTGCAAGGGCAAAACCACTCTCCAATCCTGCCTCTGTTCAGTGCCCTCCATTAAATCAAAACAAATGGCCATGAAATACAGCAGGAAAAGGAAAATCCTCAGAAAGATCTCCAGAAATCCTTCCTGGCTGCTCCTCTCACTGCAGCTCATACTTAAAATAATAGCGTGTTTTTTTTTTTGGGGGGGGGGGAATAATAGCAATGATAACGGGAATAAATCCGTGTGGGACCCCGGGGAATGGGAATAAATCCCGGTGGGACCCCAGGAATGGGAATAAATCCGGGTGGGACCCCCGGGAATGGGAATAAATCCGGGTGGGACCCCCGGGAACGGGAATAAATCCGGGTGGGACCCCCGGGAACGGGAATAAATCGGGGTGTGACCCCAGTGCTGATGGACGGTGTCAGCACAGAGCCCACGCTCGCTGGGGCACAGCACTCAAACCTTTTCTAAAGAGCTCTTTTTTAGCTAATGAGATAAGAACCTGGCTGAGCAGCCAAAGAGTTGCCCCAAGTAATGAAAAACTCCAGTTCCTCTCCAACATCTGCAGGCAAGAGGCCAAAGTTTGCTCAGGCTGGTGCCACGAGGCTGAGCCCCGTCTGTGCAGCCCCACAACACGGCTTTGTCTCCAAAATCTGCCTTGGAAATCCATCCCCAGCAGCTCTGCCTCCTGCTCCCTTCAGCAAACACTCCCAGCTCTCAGCCTGCTGCAAACCCAGCTTCTCGTGCCTCCAACGCTAATTATGTGCAGGGTAATTAAGTCACTACTCAAAAAAAACCAAATCATTTTGCCTGTTCTGAGTGGCCCCTTCCAGGCTGGAATTCCCAAACCTGATATCCACAGCAACATCTGCTGGTGGAAGAACATAAATACACAACTCAGCCGTGCTCGAAGCTTCCCTTGTGGGTGTGTGTGCTGCACTTTTCCCCAAATCCATGAATATATTCACTATTTCTTTCTGTTACTACCCCACAGTTCCGAGTGGCAATGCATAATGTTAGCACATTAATAAGTCTTAACATAATAAAGTCACAAATTAATTTATAAACTAATAAATACATGATGCATACATTTAATCTGAGGGCTTAAAATCTTCATAACAACGTTCTTTTAATAATTAGTTATTGTTACTTACTGCTATTACCCCTACTCGAAGGATTTTACCACTGCAGTGGCACTGTATTGCAACAAACACTGTGAACTTTATTACTCCAATCCAACTGGAGTTCCTTTTATAGGGGAATGAATATTTTTGGCTTTTTAAACCACAAAAAAAAAAATAAAATGTAAAGAGATTAGCAACATTGTTCTATATAAAGCTAATAACGTAGACAAAATGAAAGAACCACTACAAAGCTTTTGTATCTTCCATCTGACTATTCCACCACAGAATGGGATTAATTTCATCCCCATTTCTCTTTTGGAGCCTTGCCAGTGACACTGAGAGGAAGGATAAGAGCTCCATGGCTGGTGCCTCGTATCAGGGCTGATAATTTGGAGTCCATTAGCAGGGAATATTAACGAGTACAGATGTATTTCCTGCCCTGTGGGTCAGCCAATCCATACCAAAACCTCCAGAGGTGCAGTAAATTCACATATTCCTTGAGCAAGTTTGTTATTAGAGTGTGATGAATACATTTGATCACATTTATAGATATTTCCATGGGTCTGCTTTATATGATTTGTTTAATGGTGGGATTGATCCTGGAGTCTTTCCCACCCCTAATGATTGATTGATTCTATTAGAGAATGGTTGTGTACATGCTTAGCACAGCCTAACTGATCTGGACACCTGGACTAAACCCAGACTCTGGGCTGGGCCTACCTTGAAGGACACTCCTGAGGATGGTTTCTGTGTGCTCAGCCAGCAGCTCTGCCTTGGCAATGGCAGCCAAGGACAGGTAACTGGACATGTTCCTGCACAGCTCCTTATTGCCCCTCTGCAGGAATTTCACTGCCACTGGCACAGCCAGGGCCATCACTGGAGGCCGGTTGTAATTCTGAAAAAAAAAAATAAAAATAAAAATTTATATCAAAGTCTTGTGCTGGGCAGAGTAGGGAAACCAAAGTCAGAGCAGCAAGGGAAAAAAAATAAAAAAGCAAAAAAATTGTCAAGAAAGGTCATGTTTTGGTAGCACCACTGAAGGCACTGAGTCAAAGAAAGAGCAAATACAGGAATTGAAAACTACTGCAGCAGGAAATGTTAAGACCAGCCCTATTTCTGTCTTCTGCTCCAGGAAGCAGAAGGGCACTGACAAAATACATGGTGGGTAAATAGAAATCAATAGAAATAAAATCTATAAAGTATGAAGTGCACTAACTACATGTTAACATTCATAACAAGACATTTTGTGTTTGGTGCTCCCTGGGAAGACAGAGGCTCTATCCATCATCCCAAAACAGGAGACACCTTGGAGCAGCCACTCCCTGGACCTGCACTGGAAACTTGCTCACAGTCTAATAGCTCTAGTATTGATCATGAATTATCCTGTAATCATTAAGATTTCATTTTTTAATTTCAACTCACGGAATGCCAGAATGGTTTGGGTTAGAAAGGTCTTAAAGCCATGGGCAGGGACATCTTCCAGTGTCCCAGGGAGCTCCAAGCCCTGTCCAGCCTGGCCTTGGACACTCCCAGGGATCCAGGGCCAGCCAGAGCTGCTCTGGGAACCTCCAGCCCATTGCAATGGAATTCCCACTGGAATTCCACTTCTCCTTCCCTGGGAACCTCCAGCCAATTCTCCTGAACACTGAGATTTTTCAGGAGTGCAAACTCCTCTTCCTAAAATGTCTCCAAGCTCCTGGAACCCCAGGTCCCTGGATGCACACTGGGGTTTTGAATCAAGGTCAGAAAAGGTTTTCTGCTATTATTTAGAGAGAAAAATCATGTGTACAAACCACCCACATCCATTGCCTGCTGAATTCCCACAGCAGCAGGACACGTTTGTGTGTGACTGAGGACCCACATTCCCCCTGGAGCCTCCTTAACCAGTGCTGTGCTCCCCTCTCCACTCAGTTCTGAGCAGCTCTTTGAAACTGGAGCACATCCCTGTTTCTGAAAATGATCCTGCAATGTGATTATGTCTAATTAGCAGCTGAAATCCCAGGCAACCCCTGGAACCCAGATGTTTCAGACAGAATGAAGGAAGGCAGAGGAATCTTTCTGGACTTGCATTCTGGAGCAGCTCTGAATAGAATAAATTTAGACTGAGAAACCTCAAATCTGTTATTCCACAGAGCTTGAGTAGCTCTGAGGATTTTTCTTTGGAACAGAAACTTGCCAAGCAGTGGACACTCCCTCCCAGAGACCCCTGAGAAAGAAAGGGCTGCAGCCACCCCTTGGTGTCAAGACAGAGAATTTTGGCAGCTGCCACATGACCAAAAGCTGCATCTTTAACGAGAAAAGCCCTTGAAATAAATGGAGTTTTCTGCAGCAGCACGTTTAAATCAACATAATGCCTCGTTATGTTTGGCTGAGACACCACAGAGCAGGAGCCAAATGCTGCTCCAAGTTATTGCTCTGCTACTCCACACAAAGAACGGGAAGATAAGGCTTGGCTCTCTGACTAGGATTTAAAAGATCTAAGAAAAATCCAAAAACAATTCTTTTTTTTTTTTTTTCCCCTCCCACCCCTTACAATAAAGATAAAATCCTTAGTTAAGAAAAGGTTTGAATTGAGAGGGAAGGAGAAAGGCTTCATTTGTTCCACGATAAACATCAGGGCAGGAAGGCACACTTAGAAAATGGGGAGGTGACAATGAAGAGCAGATTTCAATAAAGTGATACAATGATGTTTGTAAACCTTGGGGACCTCCCTGCTGCTGATATCAACAGAGACCTGCCTGAGATCCAGCCCAGCTGGCAGATATTCATTATTGTTCCAACTGTCCCCACATCTGCTGGAAAACCTCCTTTTATACCTCTTTTTTTTTTTAATGCAAAGGAACTTGCCAATAAAAGCTCTGTTTCAGGGAGCAGCAAATTTACTTTTATAACTCACATCCCTGGCAGTGGACAGGGCTTGGAGCAGCCTGGGACAGTGGGAGGTGTCCCTGCCATGGCAGGGGTGGCACTGGGTGGGTTTGTCTTAGGTTGCAATGCAGGATGTGACAAAAAGTCTGGATTCTGTCACAATCTGTTAAAGCATCTGGGGCAGTGATCCTGATCTCTGGGGGGATATTCCCTGCTCATGTTCCAGCTGTTAACCCAGCTGTTGCAGTGTTCTTTATCCTTCCCACAGCCCATCCTCCCTCCAGGAGATCTCTCCTGTTAATGGCCATGGAGTCCCAGGGCAGGGCTGATCAAATTCCATCATCCCATTGAATCTCACTAATTAACTGATCAAATTCCATCATCCCATTGGGTCCCACTAATTAACTGATGAAATTCCATCATCCCATTGGGTCCCACTAATTAACTGATGAAATTCCATCATCCC